GTACTCAAAAGTATATCTCAAGAATTTGGAAAGCTGTTCATTCTTCTAAAGGTGGCAAAATTACAGAATTGTAAACGTTGAGCTATTATATACTACGAACTAGAGGCGTCACTGCATTTAGTCACATTGTACCCATAGATAATATACAATATAGGTGTACCAATTGCGGCGTTAGCACCGTACTTTACTAAGTTACTCGTTAGGCGCTAGTAAGTTGACACGTGTTGATTAATTATATTAAAAAATGCTCGATAAAATATGCCTTGGTGTGTTTTTATATATTGCACAAATAATTCAAGTAATGTTAGCAAATACCAAGGAATAAATTTTATCGGTTAATAAGATACTTAATCAATAAAAAAGTATTATAGATTAATAATAAAACAAATTGTTCCTAAGACGCCATCTCGTGTGATGGAATATAGATTATGAAATTAATTTGTTCAGATGCGACATTACTGTGGGTACCACAGATTACCTCCTAATAGATACCGCATCATGGAATATTTGTTCTGTTTCGATTTCACCAAATTTCGGGTTGCGGGGGACGTATCAAATGAGCTGTGATTGGATGATTCAAGGTAGAACTTAGAATGCTCCGAACCATAGTGAAGGGACAAGGTTGGGATGTTGATCGATAAATTTGGGATTTATTGATTATTGATAAATAAATGAATTGATCAATTTTTATTTGAAATTTATTAAAAAATAAAACAGTGTATATACATAAAAAGAATATATATATATATATATATATATATATATATATATATATATATATATATATATATATTGTACATGTAATCTAACGATTTCTTAAATTTATGCGAACACTACACATTGAATAAAACTATATAATTATATGGATTTTAGTGTTTAATTAATTTATGGTCACGGGGAGGGGGGGAACTTAAATATTTGACATCTCAATATCATAGTTAGCTCGGCTATCTTCACTTTTAGTATATTGATTTTTGGTCCCGATCTAAATAAAACGAGCTTACAGTATCTTGAAGTCTTGCAGTGGTATGCTTGGTTTTGGATAGATTTTGTTAATTATAGGATCCCAAGCAGATGGCAGCATCCATCCACCGACTGTGGCCGGCTTCACTCGATTGCTATGACGTAGGCTTGGGATCCAAAACTTGTTGTCTTGCAGTACTTGATTGACATGCTGAAGCTCGGCAGCCAGATGTATTCTGTCACAGATCCTTTGTGCTCTCTGAAACAAATATTTACCCACAGTAGCAAACTATGAAGAATGATGGTGAGATTCACCATTTAAATATCGGTTGGTATAGGCCTTTTTCCTATACATAGTATGACCAATAGTGTTATCAGGATTTCGGATTACTAAAACATCTAGGAAACCTAAAGTATTATTTGCTTCTAACTCCATCGTGATTTGTATTTTGAAGCTTATGAAGTTAAGGTGGTCTAAAATTGCAGTTGCTTTGTCAGACGGTAAAATTTTGAAAGTGTCGTCTACGTACCGTTTGTAGAATCTTGGATTTATAGGAGCAGTAAGAAGGGTTTCATCTCAAAATCCTCCATGATATAAGTCGGCGACTATAGGAAATACAGGTGAGCCCATCGCTACACCATCAACTTGCTTGTAGAACTCTTCCTTTTACAGCAGATATTCAGATGTGAAGCAGTGTTTGAGTAATACTGCATATTCTGCAGGCATGTTGTTATCTTGTAGCTTCCTAGTTACAATTGAGAAGCAGTCTTCAATACGTAGGCATGTGAATAGTGATTGAACACCAAAACTGACCATAGTTTTATTGTCAGTGATGTAGGTCTTTTATCTCACTAACAAAATGGTGTGAACCCTTTGTGTGTATTCTGGTATGTCCTTTCGGTGGTGACAGTATTTTTGCCTAGTGTTGCACCTAAAAGTAGTATTATTAATTAAAAACCTTACGGTACGTGCTACAAATGTAGACGTACTTAATAATAATAGTAATAATAATAGGATATTACTAACGTTCATGTAACACTAGAATAACATTAATCACTTTATAACTTTCACTTGATTTATGGTTTATAAATCCGTTAAAAATAGTTTAATTTCGTAACATTCGCCTAAATATTAGAATGTCACGGTTCAATCAACCACTTAACGCTATTACTTGTTGTGTAATTTTCACCATTTATACTTTTAATTATACTTTTTAAAAAATGTAAAAGTCCATACTAAAACTGGCAAGTATAGAGTTGGTATAGAGGAATCCAACAGCCCTCTACGGTTTTTCATAATATGAAGATTGTCTTCTGTGAAATGTCTTGAGCATAGCACACTATTTTTGGTGGGAAACCGTTGGTCCCCTAGACATGTAGCGTCGATCCACATCTTTTCCTTTCGAGACATTTAGGAAACCTATAACATATAGGTACCACAATTATACGCCACTATTTGTATAAAATAATGACTACAAAAGAAAAGTAAACGATGACCAAACAAATATCGACTTATAAATCACAACACTATCGGTACACGTGCTGTCGTTAGACAAAGACAACTATTTTAATTTACGTAATGAGTGAAAGGGACATATTAAAAAAGACATCAACGGGTGCTCAAATGATATCACTTTGCAACATTTAATATCCAGTGTAAGTTGAACTCCGGTGTATTTGAAATAGGTTAACGTGATAAGAATAAAATTTACTTACCGATGAAATATTATGCCATCTTTTTGATAACTGGATGTCTTACCTGACTTGCCACACCATTTCACTAAATATGAAGCCATTTGTAATGTATTTTGGATACCAAAATTATTTTTAAATTTTCAAAAACTCGGAGGTGCCTACGGGTCACAACCTTGGACGACAATGATATCGTGATTCTTAGCGTCACTTCATATGCTAGCTACAGCAAGTATGTGTTGCGCGCGTTTGTGGCCCTGTATGCGGAATCTATTAGGAGGTAATCTGTGGTGGGTACTTAAATATAGGATGAATATATTATTATGCAATTTTTTTTTGTAGAAACATATAAGTTACCATAATTAGCTAATTTTTTTTATATTTAAATCTGCTCATTATTCTTTTCTTTTATTTTTAGGTTTCCACATCAAAGTCAAAGTGAAATACATTCGTCCATTTTTAACTCTCGCGTGCCCAGCATTTATGAACGAATCTTATTCTAATTTAAATAAATATATTTGTAATTTAAATGTTATATTCATAAATTTTGTTAAACATACATTTAGTATATTTTTTTTATTTTTGACATAGTTACCTTTTCAAATATTTAGATAAAATATTATTAAAATGTAATTGTGATATAATATTATGTAATATTAAATAAGCAAATGTAATATACAAAATAAATGAGAAAATTTAAAAAATTGTACTCGATATAATTTACCTATTTAAGGGGATAGAGTAAGTCGGCTCAAATTCTAATTTCGTCCCCACTTGCCCGCGCGTCGTATGCTATGTACCGACATGTTTGTAATCACTAATACTGTAAGTAGAAAGGTCGTTAGATAATGATTTCTTATATTTACGCGAACACTACACATTGAAATAATACTAGTTTTTACGGAATTTATCGCGTATATTTTACTTTAAAAGTTTTTATTTATAGATTAAATTTTTTCATAGAGAACAAAAGTTATTTATCTATGTGGTCTAAGTCGGGTATATTTTGGATATAAGTATATTCAGCGTTAGATACTTATTTCATTAGGTTTATCATATTTATGCCTGTTTCTTAACGCCAAGCCAGTCGCTTCTTATTTTTATTACGGTTATTTCCCATTTTAATTTTACATCGTCTTGTTGCGTAATGTATATTCTGATCGTAACCGAAACAACCTCCCCGTTCAAAGGCCGAAGCGAAGTGACCGTGCGGCAGGAATCACGCTTCAAAAGGCCGATATTTTAGGTAATTTCTTTTTACAGTGAAAATAATGGTATTTTAAAAAAGTAAATAACATAAGCACTGATTTATAGTTAGTTCAGTTGTATGCAAAGTGTCATGATCTTATTTAAAGTATTTTATGAATAACAGCGGTTTACTGTTTATTTTGGAGGTAACTTTGGATTTTTTTTCTATCGAGAAAATTTTACGAAATCGTGTTTTCGTCAAACATAATCCTTAACATTAATCGTCAACTTTACCATATATTTATTTCAAACTTAATGCTGCAATATTTTCGGCATAACGGAGGATCTTGCTAAGCCATTTGAGATTATATTTCCCCTTAACAATACAATCTATTATTACTGATCATTCTACCAAAATGTTTATTCTATGATAAAAACCAACCGCGCGAATACAGAGCGCACATTTTTTGTTTGAAATAGCTGTTCTAGTATGTAAGTATATATTGGGTATGTTCCAAAATAGAACCCAGTGTACTGTCCAATGCAAATGACGTCATGAATCGTCGCTATACTGGTGTTTCGTTCTAAAACATAGGACAGTATAGACGTCATACATTAGCACCATATTGGAACAGTGTTGGCGATTATTTTATCATTTTGTGCTCCAAAAATCATTGTATCCTCTTAATGGAGGTACCAGCTAATATTCTATAATTTTTTGTATTTGAATAAATAAAAACAAATTCTGGCATGCTTCATTCAGCATACACACAATTAAAAATTGTTTTAATATGGCCGGATATCTGATACAATATGGCAGCGGCACGCCAGTACATTATGGTGTCAATTGATGACGTCATTTGTATATGGCAGTATATTGGAAACGTTTCGGAACATACCCATTACTTCAATGCTTGTAAATGTCATGCTACCTATTCACATCAAATACATATTTTGGAGAGAAATTGAAAAATTGGCACATTTATGGGTTAATGAACAATTATCCTTAAACACATTGTTAATTGTCTTTAGATAGATTAAAAAGAAACATTACATTTCATCATAGTTAAGTTTCTTTTCAATATATGTAAAGTATACTACTGATCCATAAATAACACTGCTATTAAAATCACTATGAGACACCTTACACATTACACCTATCTCTTTTTATGATATGGATGCCTTCTTCTAAATGAACTTATTGTTTTATTTGGTGGTTGATGCTGCTTCATCTGGTACTGTGTGATAACAGGAGTCTCATTAGCTGCCAACTTGTTAATGACAAAGTCATCACCAGCCTTCATGTTCTCCATCATTTTGAGCTTTGCCTCTATTGATTGAATGGCAGTTTTCTTGCTGAGCTTCAATTCTGGCTTAGCACCAGCAAGCGCTGCAATACCCAATTCTGGTTTTGGTTTATCTTGCTCATCCTGTAAAATAACTTTTTATTTAAGTTTTAGCTTTAACATTTTGACTAATGATGGTTTTGTTTGCCTCAATAAAAATCTGCTTTTGTTAATAAAATTTGTATGAATCATATACTTTAATACTCATACATCAGTTATAATGTTCTAAATAAAATAACATCATATTCAGTAAACCTCCAAAGATAGTAATAATTTATTCTCACAGACCTCACACTCACTTTAAAAGCACCATTTAAATGATCAATGTTTGCTTCATTTATATAGCTTTGCTTTTTGCTAGTTACTTATATATGTGCAAGATTTGTAAATATACATGCAGATATTTTGCATATGAAATACAAATTTTCCACATATACTTTCATTTGCATAAACATTTGCAACCTATTACTATATTCATGGACAAGTGCAAATGCCATTTAACAATAGACATTCCCTCTGTTCCATTAACTACCACATACAACATAATAATATGTATTGTGGGTGTGAGTCAATAATGTTTGTGCTCTTTGATGTGTATTGAAAATTTTAGATATGTAAACATTTTTAAAACTTCACTACATTAGCGAATATGTATATTTGTGCAATGTGCACAAATTGAACCTGTTGACCTGCATTAGAACTGTCCTTATCCTCCAGTAATAAACTGGCAACACTTTAAACTCTTTAAATAAGTAATACAACATATAGGGCTATTGTAAATTCCTAGCAGAGAAATATTTCTAGAATATGTGAAGTCTACCTACACCTAATTGGGACAGTGGACACACTGCCCAAATGAGTGTGTGCTCTGAAAATGTTTTAACAAATGAGAGGCTTGTGTCCAGTAGTTGAATGTATATGCTGCTACTTTACATTATAAGAGATACTATTAAGAAAAATTCTTTCTATTTTCTTAATAGTATTAAGAAAAAACTTGCAAAAACCTTTCGGAGTTTAATACTTTAAGATCATTATTGTGTATTACATATGTCTTCAATTTAAATTGCTTAAGTTGTTTCAATAAATACCACCAAATATAGAAAAGTACATACCGACGTAATCTTGGCAAATTTAACACAAATTCTTTTCGATCCCAAGAGCTGACCATTTAGAGAGTTCATGGCTTTAATAGCATCCTGTCTCATCTTGAAGGTGACAAAAGCGAAGCCACGCGGCTGCCCTGCATTGGGCCCGCTGCGATGGAATAACATGTCGAACTTCTCAATGTTTCCATACACGCGAACCATTTTCAGTAATTGATACCGGTAAAGTGAAAAAGGAAAAGGTTACTGGAGTAGACACAAAAAAGACAGTAATGTAATAAAAATATTAGGCACAAATTGATTGATTAATTGGACTAGTGTCATTTATTATTAATGCATTTCTAATGATAAGGTCAAATTGGTCCATTGTTCAATTTGTCATCTTTTTCGTCTACATTGCTACTGTTTTTTTTTTAAAGAATATTAACAATGCTATAAACATTACTAATATTCACCTTAACCACTCATGGTAAGCTTAAATTGCTTGTGTTACGAGGGGTTCACGCCAGTAATCGAATGGCGGATTCGAACCCACAACCTTTTTGAGTTTGCGGTCTGCGCCCTGTCATTAGGCTACTGTCGCGAAGCAACAATTGACAGTTGCCTAACTTACTCAATAAGCCTTGTCCTTAATTACTTGCATGAGGTATATTTGACTCCCAGACATGTTTCGATGCTCATAACTCTTCTATTTTTAAGTTTTTTGGTGTTGAATTTTTTTTTCTGAAAGTATATGATATTGGCCCTGCGACTTTTACAGCTTTGTTGAAATAGATTTGTGAGCGAGAACACACACGCTATTGAGTGCAACGATTCTGCCTGTAGTCTCGAGGCACCCTACTTTCAGAGTGAGGCTCCCCTAGTTAGGGGGGGTGGGCTCAATGTGATATAAGGGCCAATGAAAGGAAGGTACGAAATTCCCAGTAGCTGGTTATATAGGTCTGCCCTCCTTAACTCAGTTGCAAGCTTTGATCTGCATGATGTGGTTGTGCTGGAGGATCAAGCTTAGGGTATATTAGGAGAGAGGGGGGGTGTCCCCTATCACAACTGCAAGGATTTCTGGGTGCTCATGTATTTCAGAGTGGTAAGAAAAAGACTGTGGGTAGGAGCTGCTCTGCGTTCTAACCTAACTCAACTGAAACAATTTGTATAAATAAAGTATATAATAATCATTACTTTAATGTAAGAAATAAAAATACCATAGAAATATAATAATGTGACACTAGTCTTTGACATGGCCTTTGCCCTTGTCACGCTTACACAAAATATGCTATCCAGCTTTCACAGTAATACCGCATTCATTTCTCCATGTTTTACTCATTTATAGGTTATAATAGTTTTTTATTATTTTCAAGAAAAACTTCTACACCCAACAATTGCAAGTCCAATCTGTGTTACTATTTTTCACATGAGGCTTTTGAGTTCATTTTTATGTTTGTGTATAATCTGGGTTTTCATCTGATTTTAAGAAATAACTCTATGCTCATATGGCCTAAAAAGTCTCAGACTGTGAAATTGATTTCATAGGCACTATGACTACAACTTCAATGAAAAAAACAACCCAAACCTAAAGCAAAAACCAGAAATGGCTTTGTTTTGCAATCACACCAAAGGTTTACACCTTAGAGCTTATCCTTAGAGCATATTTTAGGTTGATCCTAACGTTTTTACACAACATGACAACAATCATTCACAATGTCAGACAAGCAGTGGCCAATGTTATAACTTTTATATGTTCTCAACAAAACCGGAATCAATGCACATGTCATAAGTATATAATCAATAAAATGGATAACAAAATATCAAGAATGGAATTCCTAAAATAACTTACAATAGATTTGACAAAAGCTCAGTGATAGAATTACTAAAAAATGTCACTGGCTATACAAAAATGGTCTAAAAAGAAGCGCTGATCATGAAGGTCCTGACTCCACTTCCAGAGATGGACCATCAACATTCTACAAGAAATGTCACATGTGCCTAAGGTCAAACAACAAAAATAAGAACTAGATGCTTTCAATGTGACAAACAAACCTGCAATGCAATAATCATTCCATCGTAACATGTGATGAACATACATTAGGTTAAGCTGTTAATCTATGTTAATTATCAATACTTACTGTTACCTTTCAGTTACAAGTTGAGTTTATCTTATATTCTTAAATAAGTATACAATTATGCAGTTTAAAATTAATTTAATTTAAAAATTTGGGTTAAATTCTAAAAACTTCCCATGCAAGCAGTAGTGTAAGTATTGGGTAGTAAAAATTAAAATAAAGCAAAAAAAGATCTCCACAAAACTAAGATGATTTATCTGAACTGACCACAATTTCTGAATGACTACAAAAAGGTTTTAGCAGCCTAAAATACAATATACATGATAAATAATCATACTCATTAACTCTAAGATCCAGATTTCCAATCCATAATCTTTTGTCACACACTTCACTTTGCTGCATAGGCTCCAAATGTAAGGGAACCTGTAATACCATTTTTACAAAATAAAAATACGTGAAATAGCATTTATGACACAGTTTTGCTTGTGACCGAAATAATTGACCAAATGTTTTAACAAGTTGAGAAAATCTCTTTTTTCACGAAGATTTTCAAAACTCATTTTTTTATAAATCATACCGTAGTGTCATCCATGAATATGCCGTTACTTTTTGGGAGTATAATCACTAAAAAGTATAGAAACCTAAAGCAAATTTAACACCAAAATGTGGAAATGATCACTAGGGCTTTAAAAATTAAGGATTGTACGTTTAGAGCTTTTTTCGGTTCTTTGGTATTTTTGAAGGTTGCTTTGATTTATTTTGACAGTTTTGACTGTTGTATATGATATATATATTCTTATCTATGGATATGGCCCGTAGACATCACAGACTCACAGCCTTCTAAGCGTAGACAGAGAAACCTATAGACTAATGATTAGCGTGGCCTCGAATGAGAAAGGACGATAACGAATTTTTAGGTTATACAATAATCTTTATGACTTTTAAACCCATTTAGATAAAAAATTTAATTGTTCTAAGAACTGAACTGAACAAGATTCACCAATCTTAAGCTCACAAAACACTTTTTTCTCACTTAAACCAACTTGTAAACTCCTTAAATCGTTACGCTGTTAAAGTTGTTTAGCAAACTGTAGAGTTTGCTAAACAACTTTAAGCGTAACAAAAAAACTGGCACGGAGAAAGGGACAAACAATCACACCGCTCTATCTCATTTCTATGCAAGACGTATGCATATATCTATCTTTTTCGTGTGCGAATGCGAAAGAAGGCGTCAATTTGTCTATAGGTTTCTCTGTCTACGCTTCTAAGAGGGTTGGTAGACACATAGATTTAGTATAGACCACAAATTAATAAAAGTGCTAACGTAGTATAGACTCTAGGTAAACATGCCGTTGACAGAGAATATCATAGACATATATAAAACATATGGACCTGGCATATCTACAAGAAACACGTGCATACTTACACTTTACTGAGAGGATAAAATGGCGATTAATAGAGCAGAACATATCGATATTTCTTTAATAATGACATCGACAGAAGATTGCGAGAATGTATTCATATGGCCACGGAGCCACGGACATACGGCACACTGTGTGGGTAAAAATACGTAATATAAGTTATTTCTAGGTTCGTCATTTTTTACGTCTAAACCGTAGAACATATTTTTATGGTGGTTCAGTCAATGGCGCATAGATGGTATTTTTTAATGAAATGTAATTATTTTATTAATAGTTTAGTTTAGTTTTTGTCGTGTATCACATTATGATCAACATACGACCTAATAGAGAGCTGCAATTTGCAAAAAGACGTATGAAATTTAGAATTTTACGGGCTACATTGGCAGAACTAACATCTGATATTATAAATGCTATAGCCTAGCCTATCTAACACCACGCTATGACTCTTAGAAGCTAAGCAAAAAGAAAAAAACGTCAGAAATAATGTTAAGCAAAAACGAAGTGATAGTGCGGGCAGGTAATGCGGCGGGATATGAGTCTGGGGAACAATAAATTTCTCACTAAGTCACAGGCAGAAGCTAATAATTACTATTTTTGATGTTAAGTTTTACACCTACCATTTTTAACATGCAGATGATTGTGGGTTTTAATTAAAAGCCAACAATAATTTTATTAAAGTACTGGCTTCTGCCCGCGCAGAAGAAAATGATTTTAATTGGATTTTTTTACGTTATTTATTGTTTTTTTTACGTTAATTTTTTTAAGTTATAACATATAAATTATTATGTTAAAATGGGTGAATACTTATAACAATCCACATTATAGTGTAAGCATTTAAAGGTTAAATAAACATGCAAATAAAATAAAATTTTGTTATATTTTATGAACACGAATATACGCTAAGTAGGTAATCTAGAAAATTTACAAAAGAAATTTCGAAGAGAAATCAAGGTGTGGTGTGGGATTCTGAATTTAATAAATTTCTTTGGTTTAAATCTTTGATAATATTACTAAAATAAACAATTTTGTTGTTCTGTCTTCTAACTTTCTTATTAAGTCTCTTTATCTTCATGGACTGTTTTTGATATTTGTCCTTTTATTTATTTATCATTTCAAATGAGTGTACCTGAAAGCAAATAAAATCAGATATAAGTATAAAGTAATATAGAAGACAAGCGAGAGATATCTCCCACCCAGTCTCAATTCAGTTGATGAGATCTTATAATTGAGATACTCGTAAATTTCGCAAATAATGATGATAATAGAAACTGAAGTTAGTCATACTGATAAATCTGGCATAGCGGAGGTGGCAGCTGTAGCTGGTAGATCTAGCGCAGTGGAGGTGCTAGCAGCCAAATGTGGTGATATGCTAGTGACTAAATATAGCATAGAAGATGTGCTGAAGATGTGGCATAGATTTAGCCCCTAAGTCTATGCCACTCCTTAGGCACACAAAATGGTTCGACCCGAAAACCACTCTTTGTTATTAACTTATTTATTACTATTTATTAATAAAATAGAAAAGTAAATGCTAAAAAAGACTTCAAAAACAGTAGGGTTATCCTGCTGTTTTAATTAGGCAAAAAATTACCATAATATCACCACATCCAGATATTGATTGTGAGTTTGTTTGATTTTGATCATTTTCAATTAAAATACCAGACATATTTGATTGAATCAAAGGCTGTAAATAAACAATAAAATGATTAGCATTTTTTACGTTTCTTGGTTTTATTAATATGATTTTTATTAATCTTAAGACCTCACTCGAACACATACTTTACATCATTATTTGTGTCTACTATACAAGGTGGAACAGAACAATTGACATTCTTTTAAACCACATATTCATTCTTGATTCTGGACCCTCCTGCGTTATAATTTACTGTCATTTATTTCCAAAAAAAAAAAACTGCCGTGTCCTACAAAAGTGCAATAATACGCAGTCAAAATGTATGAAATATAATTTTTTTTAATAACCGACGAAATATTTCAACGCAGTGGGGTCCAGTCATGTACGGACTATGTGGTTACAATTAATGTCATCACCACTCAATTTATCAGCCACTACGCAATCATGTTGGACAAATTTATAACATGTAACGTTACTTACCGATAAGGTTCGTGAAGGTAAAGCATCGTCACGCAATGTATAGTCAGTGTCCAGTTGAAACATGATTCATAAAATTGAAAAGAATAAATATGAATTGTTTTTGTTGACATCAAAATTCCGCTCGAGACTATACCTGCTCGGGGCAAACGGAGCAATAAGTCAAAGGCGCCCCCTGCCACGCTATCCGTGAGTTTCTACATCATCAGGGGACTTCTTTCAAACCTTAACGCCGTCCATTACCACGTGGAAATGGCGAAGCCGGCCTAGCTCTTTCTAACCGAGACACAGGTATTCTCTCCGGCTGATGCTTCGTATCTCTCCTACCCAGGGTACAAATTGGAACACTCTTTTGTGCCCCGGGCTGAAGTTTGCGTGTATGTCAGAGAGGACATGTGTTTTCGACGCCTCGACAGCCTTGAAGGTACGGACCTGTCCATCTTATGGCTGCGCGTAGACAGCGACGACCATCCCCGCGTCTACGCGTGCCTCTATAGGTCCATAGCGGTAATGCCGAAACAGGCCGACTCATCGACCACGTCCAAATGGCTGCAGACTCCGTGCTACAACAGATCACATCCGCAGAGATTGTGATACTAAATAAGATGTGGTGTAGGGGACTACATCGGAGGCAGAACCCAGACTTGTTTTGATCGCTCCTGCAAATTGCACTCCGTCATAAGCAGGAGTGCTACCAGGCCTGGACTCGCGCATCGACGTCTCGGGATGCAAATACCAGCGCCCTTAAAAGAAGTACAATTCCGCCTTCAGGTCCTTCAAAAGTGTCGAGAAAATAGTTCGTCTTCCTTCGGGAACACGTGCATTCTGGTCTCTCGCCAAGGCTGTCCAAGGGAACTTCTGTCAGCCATCTCTCCCATCTCTGCACAGGGAGGTCGACTTACTGGCCCATGCCGCAAAGGACAAAGCCGATCTGCTGAGCTCTCTCTTTGCGTCCAACTCGACTCTTGATGACGGGGAGAACACACCGCCGACCATCCCGCGGAGTGAGTGCTCCATGCAGGATGTCTTGTTTACTCTACGCTCAGTGCGTAGAGCACTCCTCTCCCTGGACGTCAACAAGTCAAGTGGGCTGGATGGCGTCCCTCCTATTGTGCTGAATACGTGTGCTCCGCAGTTAGCACCGCTTTTAACGCGTCTTTTCCGGTACTCTTACTCCTTTGGTGTAGTCCTGAAATCATGGAAGACAGCCCTCATGCATCCGATCCCTAAAAAAGGTAACCGCTCTGATCCATCCAACTATAGGCCTATGGCCATCACATCCTTGTTCTCTAAAATAATGGAATCCATTATTTTAGAGAACAAGGAGGAATTAACAGCCAGCTTATGCCGGACCTTGGAGATGACCAGCTGATTAGTGACCGCCAGTACGTTTTCCGTCGCAGTCGATCGGCTGGTGATCTGGGTTACCTAACTCATAAATGGGTGGAGGCAGTAGAATCCAAAGGGCAGGCGTTGGCCGTTAGTTTGAACATAGAATAGGCCTTCCATCGGGTTTGGCACAAGGCGCTTCTTACGAAGCTTTCTTCCTATGGTTTCTCGAGAAATTGTGCAATTGGATCACCAGTTTTCTTGCTGATCGGAGCATCAAGGTCGTAGTAGACGGTGCATGCTCCGATTACAAACCCATTAACGCTGGTGTTCTACAAGGCTGCGTGCTATCACCAACGCTGTTTCTTCTCCATATCAATGACATGTTGCAAACCGGTAACATTCATTGCTATGCAGACGACAGCACTGGTGATGCTTTATACACCGGCCGTGCCAAAATGTCTCGGAAAAACGTCTCCGAGTATTATTCCCGTGCCTATTCGCGTGATTTGTATTTCCACGGAAATAATTTGTAATTAGAAATAAAATGTAAATAAAATCATCCAAAATATAATTTGTTATAAGTTTTTACTACAAAACCGTCCAAATTAACGGCACAATTAAAGAAAAATCTTTCATCGAACTAGAATCGGTAGCCCAACGTGTCGTAGATGCAGCTCTAGATCTCTGCTGAAGCTCGGATCTTAGCTCTGCTTGGTTACATTGACGCTGCGACTCAATGAATGGCACGGTTGGTGTCGTCTGTGGTGTCTAGACAGGCTGAGGTTGTATTTGAGTGGACGGTGGCGGCGCAGATAACGGAATCTGTTCAGACACACCTTTTAACTCCACCTCCTCCTCTTCTTCTTCTTCAGATTCTGAACTATTACCACCACATTAGTCAGCTAGTAATCTATATCATCCACATCACTCCCTGCATAAACATTTTCATCCAACTCCTAATATTTCTTCCATTTCCCCACTTTTTAGTCGTTTCCTTGCAGATATTCGCGATGTACTTGTTGATATTTTTAACTGTTTTGGTTTGTCAATCATTATAAAAAAAAATCCAAAACAGAAGCCAATATACCGAAAAAACAATAAATTATACAAACAAAAACAGACTATACCGCGCATTTTCGTTGAGTGAAATAACGAGCGAGGTACAAACAATACAAAATGGTTACCTGTAGGCCACGCTCAGTACTTGAAAGGTCATTATCTTCCCGATTGGCCATAATAAAAACAAAAAGCCAATACGCTACGGCCACCAGCATTATTATAAGGGACCATAGATAAATAAATATGTAGCAAGTAAGGGACCATCATAGGACGTCGCGTGATGCGGTAATGAACGTGTTAATGAAGTGACAAAAATATCGAGTAACTAAGAAAGTATCGATACTTAGTAAAATACTCTAATAAAAGTATCGAGCACAAAAAAACTAGGTATCGAACTAAAAATATCGATACTACTCGGGTACTCGATACTTTTGCGGATCCCTGTCATCACTGGTCATCACCTGTCATTATTGATGTATGATGTCCCCATTGAAAACAAATACAACTGTTAAAAAATGGTGATCAAGATATACACAAATTAAGCCAAGAGACAAATGAAATTTGGTTACGAGATTGCTGTCTGCTTACGATAGCTATTATAGGTACTAGTAGTATTCAGAGAGAAAGATATTTAAGTGGTATTTTAGTTCTAATACAACTTAAAAAACTTGAAAAAGGTGTACGTTATTTTCTTTACATTAAGAGCTATGGTAATTTTGCAATTAAGCTATGAATAAAATAAATAAGAGAATACCTGGAGCCTTACCACCAGCACCGAAAACTGAAATTGATGGTAAAGTCTCAGATCTATCGACCAAAACTATCTCAGAACTTTTAGATATTCGTGATAGGCAACTAAAACTACTTAAGAACCACGCTTTTATTAGTAAATTAGCTGACAAAGGCGCTAAAATACAGAAATTTTATGACAAAATTGTTTCTGAAATAAAATCGAAACAGGAAGAGGAGAGTACATGTAATTTGTTAAGGAATTTGAATTTGAACAATGACAAAGTACAAAATGTAGAATGGGAAGGAAAATTAGATATTTATAAAGAAAATACCTACTTAGATTCTGATGATGATAGTGATCCAGATGGTGTCTTACATGTTCTTAGTCAGAGTACAACAAATGAGAAAAAAGTTAAAGTTGTAAAACCAGATAAACCTTTAGTAACCCCGGAAGATCTTGTCAAGATTGGTGAGATTCCACATATAAAGTATTTAGTAGATAAAGCTGAACAAAACCAAAAGCCCAAACCTACTGGCCATTTTAAACCTTTTAAGACAACCAAGTCCGATGTACATAAGCCTGAAAAAGAAATCCACAGAAAGAAGCACAAAAACTGGGAAGTGACTGCAGCAACGCCACCTCCTATTGTTCATGGACCTGTACAACTACTTTCTTTAGATGAATCTTTGAAACTTCAGAAAGAATATAACATGCATTTGAAAGAAGTAGAGGCTCAACATGCAGCAGAGAAGTTGCTTGCACGTTCAGGAATTAAAATGTCTAAGTTACCTGAAGACACCTATAGATTTGGTAAATATAGGCAAAGTGGCAGTGACGATTCAGTGATAGATTCATCATCAGACAGTGAAGACAGTGATAAAGAAGTTCATGATGAGGAACCAGAAAGAGGTGGAGTAGTTTTCACTGTTATGAAATAAGTTATGTTGTGATTTTTTTAGAAGCAGTAAAAGGTATAAATTGAAAATATATATTTTGATATACTTAAATTAAAGTTTTATTTTATTTTTATGCTTTATATTAAAATAATATTATGATATCTTTTTTAATATGATATCTAGCATGTAAGATATTGCTGGGTTTTGTGGAGTTCCTTGGGGAGACCTAGGTTCAACAGTGGACTTGTGAAAGGCTTGTCAATATCTTTAGGCTGTTGTTGATAGCTATATATTCAGCAAGAGCCAATAGTGTTACAATATGTATACTGGCATAGCTTGGGCCTCCTCAGTGATAAGATTGGAGGTAAGTTGGGATGTAATTTCCAACAGCACAACCAGACCTAAAAACCATGATAATGTTTTTGTACATACTTGTATTGCTATGTAAAGTTTTAATATATGATGTCCCACTGATACTCATAGGATTCTACTTATTTCTGAGAGAGTTATGAGAAATATGGCCACACTGCTGCAGTGCCTCAAAATATTTTTATTTCTCTTCATTAGGCATTCAGGTTTCATCACAATGTTTACCTTCACTGCCAAGTATGTGGTAAATCAGCACTTATATTTGTAAATAAGTGATTTTGATGTCGGGAATAAAACCCGGTTTACTCACATACTGTGTAAATTAGTGGGTTATTAAATTAGAAAAAAAAAACAGGCGTAAACACTCCAAAAACATAGGTCATGTATAGATAAACAGTATTAAACTAATTAATCTGTCTAGACACTAGTAAGACTTCTAAACTTTTCACAGCATAAGCTGTAGAGATGTAGGCTATGCTTGCTAGTTTAAATATATGGAGGTCTAGTGGGAATATTAATTTAGAAACAAGATCATGAAATGCACAATGAAAATGCACAGTGAAACAGACGAAATTTCTGTGTTTTGTCAGTACAGAAATAAGTAGTTCCAAAATTAGTGGTGTTCAATGTACTATCAGATATCAATAAAGGTATGCTTTATTAAATGAGGAAACAGAAGGTTCAATACCAGTATTAAAAATAATAGCAAGATGAGGTGCAATTAAATCTATTATAGCTGCAATAGTTATGAAGGATATCCCACATAAATCTGCGGTTTTCTTTACCCCAATGGTTTTGAAATATTTTACGATACCTTGTGCTAATACTTTTTAAAATCTAAATAAGTTAATCTTTCTGAGAACAGAACATTAAAAAACTGCGTCTCCAACCCGCCTATGGCATATATTACCCATTGAATCTATGCCTTATACAGCACTTTCTCAGTGGATTTGTGATTGCAGTGAAATTGCGCAGTTATTCATCACAGGTTATTGTGGGGATAATATATAACTATCAGTTTTTCTCAAAATAGTTACTAGAATTCTCTGACTTAATAGTCAATGAGCTGAAAAGCAGGTTATGGTTATCTAACTATAAAAATAGGCTTAATATACACTATAACATGCCAGTTAGTTTGGTTATAAGAGCTAGTTACCTATCACTATCGACCGCTAGCCACCATCAGTTTTAGTAGCAATATGCTTGGTTAAAACTAAGCTTACTGAAAAGCTTAGGAGCGGAGAACAAACCGTTCATTTCCTTAACTGTACGGGGAGTCCAATTCAATATATGCATTGCATTATTATGATATAAGTCTTACCTGAGCCGAGGTAGCTCAGATGGATAGTGCTCGCTGTAAATTTCACAGTATGCGAGCAAACCGGGCTCGATCCCCGCTGGCACCAATGACATTGTTAATTGCAATTTTAAGTTCGACGGCTCCGTGCTGAGGGCCGCGGGTTCGAATCCCGCACGGAACAAGTATTTGTATGGCAATTGGTATAGTAATTGTTCGGGTATGGATATCCTTGTGCAATTTATGTTTGTAAACTGCCTCCACGATACAGGAGAAAATCCTAGGGGGGGGGACGTTTAAAAAAAATAAAGTGCTGATTTACCACGTGCTCGGCGGTGAAGAAAAACATCGTGACGAAACTTGCATGTCTAAGAAATAAGGAAAAAAAAATATTTCGAAGACATGTGAAGTTCCCTTACGGGCAGCGCGGCGGACAATTCCTTGCCCTATAACCCTCTAAGATTTTAATTAAGGAAAGAGAAAAAGTAAAAAAAAAATCATTCGACATATAGTAAACGTAAGGTTGTAGCGCTGCAGTGTTGAGGGTTCGATCCCGCATGGAATAAATGTTTATATGACTTACAAATAATTGTTATGGGTCTGGATGCGAGTCCTTATACAATTTAATATAATATGTAAAGTCGTTACACGATACAGAAGAAAATTCTACTGTAGGGATTGTTAAAATATGAAAAGAAATCAAATCAAATAATTTTTTCAGTATCAGAGTTGATTTCTTATATTTACGCGAACACTAAACATTGATTAAAACTACTTTTACGGATTTTATCGCGTTTTATTTATTTTTGATACCCGACGTTTCGGGTGCTTAGTTTAGTTTAGTTTAGTTTACGACGGGCTGTTTTCCGCAACTCCACGTCTAAGCGCGTATTTTGCGTGTGGGCAGGAATAATATGCTTATTCGAGCCATGATATCTCCCCGAAGAAGCTCAGCAGTCCCTTGATGTTGCAAGCAACTTCGGGGAGCGATCCCGGCGTGCCGAGATGTTTAGCCCTATATGAAGCGACTTCTGGACATGTCAGCAACACGTGAGCCGCCGTTTCTTCCTCTCCCATGCATGCCCTGCACAGGGGGCTGTCAGTAACACCTATGGTGAACAAATGTTTGTTAAAAGAGCCATGTCCTGTGATAGCAGTTGTTACTATCCTGATCTGTGGCTTGTTCAGTCTCATTAGAACCTTGGTTAGACGACTGTTTAATTCAGATATGGCCTCCCTAGCTTGTCTACAGTCTACTAAATTTTTCCAAAGCTGAGCGTGTAAATTATTGAAGTATCTACGTACCAGTGAACGAACGTAGCCAAAGGGGATTGGTATTATTAGTTCCGGCCCTATAGTTGCTAGGGCCGATCCCCTTCCGGCAAGTTCATCTGCTGCATCGTTGCCTCTTGATCCACTGTGTCCCTTGATCAATTGCAGAGTCACATTGTTGTGCTCATTCAATCATTGATGGCACTCGTATATCACACCTTCATTTGTCTTAGAGCCATCCGTGAAAACTTTGAGCTCTTGGACCCAATCCTTCCAGATGGTCAGTTTCCTTCAAATGTATCCTGTACTTCTTATCGAATACAAATAGTTTTGGAATCCTATCATACTTGGCTTGTAAGATAGGAAATTTTGAGTAAATTCTATCGATTATATCTGTATATCTCTACTCTTACTTAAAAGATTTAGGGTCTTGAGTCTAATGGCAGCTAAAGTTGCTTTTTGTTGTATATGTAGATGAAGCGGTGTTAGCTCCAGCATAGCCTCCAAAGCTGCTGTTGGTTTAGTCCTTATGCAGCCCGTGGCAGCCATACAAGCTAATCTCTGGTAACGCTGAAGCTTTTGTATAGTGGTGGCTTCATTGGTTTTGGTCCACCATACCAGAGAGCCATATGTGATCATGGGCCGAATTACAATTTTGTACAGCCACAGTACAATTTTTGGCGTTAAGCCCCATCGTTTGCCAATCATGTTTCTGCATTGCCAGAAAGTTAAACTAGCTTTGCTGATTTTGTTTTCTATGTGTTTGTTCCAGTTAAGTTTTACTGTCCAAGGTAGGACCTAGGTATTTTACCTCGGAAGAAAGTTGGAGTTTTGTGCTGAAAAGACTTGGAAGATGATAGTTATTCAGCATTCGTTTTTGTGTGAACATTACTATAACCGTTTTATTTGGATTAACGGTTAGGTCATATTCCCTGCACCATCTCTCCACAATACGGAGAGCCGCTTGGGTCAGGTCGCACACAATGCTTGCTGTCTTACCAGAGACCAGTATTGTCAGATCATCTGCATAACCGACTGTGTAGAAATGGTTAGCGTTTAATTTGCTGATGAGTTCATTAATGACCATATTCCACAGGAGAGGTGAAAGAAAGTGCCCTGCGGGCATCCTTTCATGATCTGAATTATCTGAGATTCACCAGCAATCTTTATTGTTCGCGTACTGAGCATATTTACTATCCAATCAATCAGTGCCGGTTCAACATTATGTCTACTTAGGGCACCTTTTATGCTGGAGAAATTTGTTCTGTCAAAAGCACCTACTATGTCTATGAAGGAGCCTAGACATATAACTTTGTTTTGGATGGCCTCTTCAATCTTTGTTATTACTTGGTGAAATGCCGATTCTGTTGATTTACCTAAGCTATAGGCGTGTTGTTTTTCGTGTGCGGTAAGTTAATTAGCGCCGACCATCTCAACTGTCGTTCACACATCCTCTCCATCGTCTTTAGGAGAAAGGATGTGAGGCTAATAGGTCTGTAGGATTTGGGGTCTGTATAGTCGTTCTTACCTGGTTTGGGTATGACTTTCACTTCCCTCCATCCCCTAGGAACATATTTAAGAACCAGACATGCTCTCATTATGGCAACAAGTCTGACTATTAGGACTTTACCCCCCCACTGTAGAAGTGCCGGGAATAAGTCGTCAGGTCCTACTGCCTTATAGGGTTGGAAACTATGAATGGCCCAATGGATTTTGTCCATCGTCACCACTCTTTGTGCTAATTCCCAGTCTTCTTTTGTTGGTGTCAGTGCATCTTCATGCCGGTTCACCCTTTCAACGACACAGCAACCTGGGAAGTGAGTATCAGTTAGGATGCGTTTTTAGGAGGGTTTCATCCGGCGATGTTGAGTAGCTTCCGTCGGGTTTCTTTAAAGAGATAGATCCCGGCATGTTCTGTTTAGCTAGGATTTTCCTTATCCGATTTGCTTGTTCACAGGTTTCTATGTCACCACAGAATTTGCGCCACCCTGTTGAGCCTCGATACCTGATACATTTTTTGTATTCAGGCTTAGCTTTCTTATATAGAAGCCAGTCTTCATCCTTTGAGGTATTCATTGCCCTATTTAGGGCTTTTTTACCTTCT